TTATCAATATATATATATATATATATTTTTGTTGAATTTTTATTAATATATGTATTTTTGTTGGAATTTATTAATAAATACTTATTAACACCATAATTTTGTTGATCTTTTATAAGCTTGACCAAAATTAAGTATAGTTTAAGATATACTTTGATCTTTAATCAAAATTAATGATAAATTTGTTGATTCTTTATAATTACAGGCAAAATCACACTTTAATATAAAATTTTTTCAGCCTTCGGCCAATCAAATACTAGATCTCTGATGACGTAACGGTAATATACTTTGAAAATTCGGAACATTAGTTGATGAGTTTAGATGTTACGCACAGCGTTGTCACTTTACTATAATCAGAAGTTACTGGACTGGACCATATTGAATTGTAAAATTACTAAGTCCAGTGGTCTAGTGGCACATTATTGGATATGGTCCAGTTGACAACACTGGTCACGCACCGTTTATGGATCAATATCACATTTTTTCTCATATTATATATTGTTAATGCACGAAGTGCACCTTCTACGAAAGGTAAATTGAGTATGAATTCTATTTCCGGCAAAATTGATTTCGTGTGTCTTTATAAAGAATGCTTTGTATCTGATAAAGTAGTGGAAATTACTATGTACTAATTACGGTTACAAGCAATTGTCCTTTGCTTTTTTAATAATTTTTCGTTCACTCGTTTTTATTTATCTATCTTTTCGAAGAATTAATATACAAAAAATTGTAATTATCACCTAGAATTCTTGCGTTGAATATCTTAAACGATGGCACTATTACTCGCGGTACACACATTCCGTGCAAACTATGCAATGAAAGAATTCTGTTCAACGGAAAAAGTAAGAATCATATAATATGCTCTTCCATTGTTTAGCGACTTGTGCAATTGAATAATTCAACGTTTATCATGTGTTATTTCGTTCACATACCCCCAACAATATGCCTTGACGTCCTCTACAAACCTTTGAGATACTTGACTGATCAATCCCGGTTATACGTTGTGCTTCAGCTAAAAATGGAAATTCTCGAGTAGAACCATCGTCAAAAATCTGCTTGACAGCATCTAGCCAGAGGCGAATTGCATGTTGCATATTTTCTTTCAGTGTACACCATTCGAGATTAGTGGAATCACCGTCAGGCCCTTTGGGGGCGACTCCAAGAGTCATATGATTTACAAATTCTTTGCCTTCTTCTTCGGAGCAAAATGCTAATGTCACCAAGCGATGAACAAAATAATTTTAACTCGGAAATATCCTAAATGTAATGTTCCTTGGGTAATTGCACCATTTGCTAACTGAACCATACCTAAAGATGTAACTCTGAATTGTCGTGAATTAAGCTCTGTCTCTTTCCATTCTTCATTGAGATCGTCTTCTATGTAACCTTCACGCTTTGCGGAGTGCAAGGCACTCTAATATATTCAATACCACGTGACTAAAATATGGATACTGGTAGTTTACGAATACCATTAATATTAATATCTGTTTTTACATAACCGCTCCTTTTACAAATATTACCTTTTAAAACCACACCTTTATTGTTCTTGATATGTCCAAGCTTAGATACTAATTTATCTGAATCAGCTATAGGTAACCAAACCTCCATATAATATCTGTTATTTAGAATGAACATATCTTTTCAAATTCGATAGTTCAGGGTTTCACGTGTTTGTATTCAATAAGTGAATCACAAGCGGGCTCACTTATCCACCCGTAAGCACGAAGTGTGGGTTTACTGCGTCGTCAACGTTACCTGGCCTACTGGGTCAGAAAGCGATAATAATTTTTTGTGAATCGGGTCAGCTATTGAGTTATGGTAATATCGATATACACAAATAATGCAGAGTGTACAGACATAGTCCGATATGTACGCACGTTATTTACATTTTTACTAATTTAGAAACACGCTGTTTTTTAGCATATCTCAAAATAACAGAGACTTACTATTGATATATTGTTTAGAGAGACACACCTCCTCTATTACGTGCAATTCGAAAAATAATAAAGTTCGCCCGGACATTGTGTATATGCATTTGACGTGAAACAGATAATTATGTTATGCGTTGTAAAAAATCACATGACTGAAATTTCCGAGACCGCCGGTCCTGGAAAGATCTTGTCTAAGGTAAGTACTCCAGCCTCTGTCACTCTTTTCACTTTAAAGATTATTCAGAATTCGAGATAAGTACAGATTTCAAGCCTATTATTTATAAAGGCAATCCAGATCAAAAATAGTTTTAGAGAATATGGTAATTATAACTTTATTGAGCAAGAACTGTGTTTGATTTGTAATAGAGAGTATTGAATCATGAAATATATGGGAATAAAATGTTTACTATTTCACATGTGATCGTTCAAGTAATAACTTTCAAGTTTGCAATCATAAATAAATATATAAATAACAGATGATAGTGTGACTTACATATATAAATTGATAATGCTATACATTATTCTAAATAATGGTTTTCTTCACTTTTAGTAAAAGAATCATATGGGTTGGAATTGATAATTAAACTAACAAATTGGTCAGTGCTTAAAATTGGTATCTAATACCTGTGCCAATTTTAACAGAAATTGTTATATAATTTTATTAAAGATAAGAAGAGAGATTGAAAGAATGTATTCAAATACTAAAATAACTAAAAGTAAAACAAATAATATTGATATTTCTATATTTATATGTTCTAGTACTCTCAATATCAAACAAAATTATAATATTAAACTAAAATCAATCAATTAAATCAAATATTATAATCCAAACAAAATATTAACATATAATAAAAACAAATAATCAAAAACAAAAATTAATTTCTCAAAATATCAAATTACAATATATAGTTTCTTTCTTGATCTCACTCAAAATTCATGAAAAACAACTTGAAAAATACAAAATTTGAAGTTTGATTTATTAAATTATTTTTGTTAATATTAATAAAAAATATAAAAATAAAAATAAATATTAATAATATAATAACAAAATACAATTAATTAACTTGCTAAAACAAAAATTAAACTTTATTAATGTATTCAAAATATAAGAGAATATATATTAATAATATCCTATTTATACAAAATTTTTCAATATATATTAATATTATTTATATTATAAAATATTATAAAAATGAGTATTTTGATAATATCTGAATATTTTTAATAATGTCTATATTGGATATAATAAAAAATATAAAAGATATTTTGAGAGATATAAAAAGTATTATAATAGATATAAAAGATATTCTAAAAGATATAAAAGATATTTTGAAGAATATAAAAGATAATATTTCTATAAATTGAACTAAATCAAACTTTAAGCTAAACTCAAACTGAATTATTATATAAGTTTGAGTCTGGTTCAAGTTTAATTCAAAATTAATATATAATATCATATATTAATTAATAGAATTATAACTTTACTTATAAGCATAATTTATAGTAATAAGAATTAAAAGTTTATAAAGTAATAATTAAAGTATTTTTATTTTTATATTTATTAAATTTAATTTATTTTATATCAATTTGTAGCTCTTATTTTTAATTACAATTTTACTTATAATTATAGTTTATAATTATTATAGTAAAATAAATATTTATTATATCATAATTAAAGCAGATTAAAATTATAATAATTAAAAATATTTTTAAATTCATATAACTTCTTGAATATTTATTTTAAATATTAATTATCAATTTGTAGTTGGTTAAGATCTATAACTTTACTTAGAACTTTATCAAACATTTACTTGAACTTGAACTGGATTTTTGATCAGGCTCAAGTTTAATTTGAAGTTCAAACTGAATTTGAACCAGACTTTGAATTGGATTTAAATTTTTGAACTGGACTTTTGTTCAAGTTTGAGTCCAGTTCAAGTATGAACTGAACCAGACTTTTTTTTTCCTAACTCTAATATAAGATATTTCAAGGAGTATAAAAGGTATTTTGAGGAATATAAAAAGTATTTTTCTAAATATTAACTATTAAGCTAATTTAATAAATGAATAAAAATTAATAACTATTTTTGTCATTTCGATGTTTTCTACTATTTTTAGAGATTTCATATTATTTACTATTTTTAAAAGATTCTTTAATTAACAAATTTTGTAAATAAATATAATAGAAATAATAATCTGAATTTTATTTTTCGATGCTTATCATGTCAAGTGTTCATTGATTCTACAAATCCAGGAATCGAATCGAAATAATAGCCGAAAAATAATCTCAGGTTCGATTGATGAACCAATAACATAACTGGTCACGAAAACCAATCAATTACATGTACATGTAATCAATCAGATCAATTTGTGTGAAATTGCTCATCTTATTTCATTAAAGATGAAAAAACTGCCTTAAATAAATACTTCATTCAAAATTCTGGCAAGAGAATTGAAACGGAAAATCTCTTACTTACCTCCAGGATGAACAAAAAGTTGAACTATTGGGGTATGTTCTCACACAGAGATTCAATCGAAGTATAAAATAATGTGCTTGACTTGTTGCTTCATTTTTTTATTTTTGCTACTTAATCTTGTGTTTTTCTTTCTTCTCTGCTTATCGTCAAACACCGCCCAAAAAACACATTCACGTTATCGTAGAACCTTCCGTTGCAACCGGTAAGTGATTCGTAATAAAATTAATCAATGAAAGTGGACGCAATATGGCTTAACTTTTGATAGCCGTTGTTTCATTCTTGTCAGTGCTGTGTCATATTTGATAACATAACATTTTTCATTTCTTGCAGAGAAACGTACAAACTCACTTTCGCCATCCGATTTTTATGTTTTCTCTCTAATATTGCTATGATCATCAAACCCGGTTTCCTCATTTAATTTGTCTTTCATCATTCAGAGACTCGAGATTCAAAAAGAGCTAAGTTTTCTATCGATTCCTTGTCAGAACTTGGGCAGCACATTTCAATTGATAAGCCACCTGTTGAATCCATTCCCTTTGTTCCTCGCCCACAATACAAAAGAATATTTTCTTGATATACTTAAACTTGCTTTCATATGGATCACAAAGATCTCAAGATTGTCGCGGTATTGTCATTTCCGGTGGCAGTGGTATCGGAAAGACTTATAGGATTCGAAGTCAAAAATTTTATCATCAATGACGAAAGGACCCAAACACAAACAAATCATCTGAATGCAACTTTCGAACATTTATATATTGACATGAATGAGATAAAAAATTTTCTTGGAGACGGACTCGACTACAAACCTGGTTTTAATACATATCCTCGACGTCCAGAGCATATTAAGCTGACGAGAAAGCTTCTCAACATGATTATTGTGATATAATTTTGCACCAAAGTATGATCTCAGAATGCATGGAATTAATATCCAATGACACCAAGGACTATGATAAAGTCATTAAACTGTAAAATTTTTTTGCATCTCAGTATAGGGCTACCAGCTTTCATTTACCACCTATGAAATTTGGTGATTCTATGCTACTGTTTAACCAGTTTATCGAGCATTATATTATTAAAAGCAATTATAAGGTTGATAACAACATTTATCGTTCTATTGTAAACTCTGTAATAAGAATTCATGTTATTATTGAAATTACAGTTAAAATGATTTTAGTTCTGAGAATAAGAAATTCAAATGCATTTGAAAATTATGAAATGGCGAACACATTTTGGGAATTTCTATGCGTTTCTGTGAAAGCTAAATATTTCAAAGAAGACTGGTTGTCAAGCTTACATAGCGAGGATAATATTATAAAGCTATTATTTTATATTCATCTTCATTTACCCGTAAAATTAAATGGAGAGGTCGAGTGTCTCATTTTTCTTGAACAATCCCGCACTGATGATAATTTGTTCATCTCAAGGGCCCCATTAATTCTCATTTCTGTATTAGTTGATCATTTGAAATTATTCAACATTTTGACATCCTCTTAAAACTATTTGATTTGTTGACAGAAGAGACATTTCCACAATTTATCCTTCGTATGCATTACATCACCTATGTCCTTGCATTTCGTACTGGTATGTCCCTCACCATTTATGATATTTATGGTGGGTGTGCTATAGGTTCAGATGAAGTTTTAGACTGTGAAATTGATGTTCAACAACCAGTTGAGTACCATGTGCATGCAAGCTTGATACCTGGAACAGCTGGCCAATGCAACAGCTTAATCAGATCTGGATTGTTGGACAGAAAATTAGTTCCAGTGGCTTGTTCAAATAAGAGGGGATATCAAGAAATTGATGTCACATCAGGTAGATATTTTGTCTTGATTGCCAGAAGAACCAAATCTGCGGATGCAATAACACCATATGCCGACGAACAATGTGGTGCATAACATCTAAAGTCATCAAACGTTTGTATTTATAAAATGGATAAACTTCTTTACTAAGTAAATACAAAATTTAATCCATTAATATGATAGAATAGTCCCGTTCTGAGCATATTTACGGATTAAATTTATGTTTATTCCTTAGTAAATGAGTTTATCCATGTTATGCACCATACATGTATAAATTTAGTTTATCTGAACATCGAGTTCATACAAATTCTACGGGAAAAAAGGCTAGTGCTATTGGGTGCAAACAATTTGTACTTGTCACACCGAAACAATCGACGAAGAGGACATCCCGGAAATTGTGTTGTTGTAGCCGGAAAAGATTTAGTTGATTTATTAGTCTTTATGCAGATGTTGTCGCCAGGATTGCCATGACAACGGAAAAAACTGATGACAATGAATCTGATAATGGTATTAATGACATATTTCAGTAGATGATATACACATATAAACATCCCATTGCTAAATCACAAGACAAACAAACAAATAAAATATGTTTTAATACATAAATTTCTTCGAGTTGCATTTTTGGTACAATAATCCGCATAGCTAGAAATTCGCATTAGTAAGATGGGTACAACAAATAACGATAATGAAATACGTATACCAGAAAAGTTTCCCGACTCTGAAATCATACTACGGATAATTTTTGGGACAGCTAGGTCACACTTTTTCTGATATCTAATAAACAAGCCAAAAACATCAAAAATACTGCAACCTTGCTGACCCATCGATTTTTTTTGCATTAGAAATTTTTATTATATCTTCATCCTACCACTTCCTCAGCCTCCCCCATCCTTTCCATAACGTAGAAACAGAAATCATACATATAATCATTATTTTAGTGTCATACTATTTCACGTATATATTTCGGAATTTTATCTTTCGAAGAAAGTGTATTTCATGCATTACGTACATTCTATAGACATCGATGATGTTGTTTATTGTGTAATTTCGATCGTGAACAATTTCTCTAGCTTTGGTCATGGTTTTTGTATGGCTTATACGTTGTGTATATGCGCAATCGTGACCATTTTCCCTAGTTTTGGTCACGGTTTTGTATGACCCATATATGCGATTCGAAATTTTAATAAGTCTGCATATCATATAAACAGTTAATATGGCATCCGAACTAGATTTACTGAGACGACAGATTACCGAGCTTAGAACTGAGAATGCTTCGCTCATGGACGAAAATTCTGAGCTCTTGGTTAAGGAAGCAGGACTCATGGCTAGAATCGTGGAGTTAGAACAGATCGCCAAAGAAAACGTTGAGAATGTGAAGCTAAGGGATGCCGAGCTCAATGTCAGAATCGCGGAACTAGAATGGTCGGCAAAGAAAATGCTGAGTTTAAAATCAGAGTTGTGAAATTGGAACAGAAGCAGTCACAAGATGATATTTCTTCCAATACCAGTTCATCCAACGCTTCGTCAGAAGATAAGGAGGTCGATGAATTCGTGGATTCAAGAAATACGGAGAAGTTAGTAACGAGATAAGACAGAGGAATAGGGAGAAGAAGCTTCTAGGTGAATCGGCTGAAAACTAAACCCAGGACTTATCTTCGGATACTTCTTCTGAATTTTCATATGATACAGAAACCATCACGAATCATGACGATCAACAAAAAATATTGCAAGCACTTACCTCTGATTATCACGATTCGTGACTGTTTCGAAATCACATAATCGCAATTCGTGGCAGTTTCCAATAATGATTCTACTGAAATTACATTCTTGATAACATTTTGAATTGACTATTAGTAAGGCTTGAGATGGCATATATACTGTAGGTAACTTGCTAATTTTATCTATTCCAACTCCATCTTTCCCAAATAACATACGAATTTTTTGGCTCTTAGAGTTTTCATACGCAAGTTTCCTAATGTAATGCAAGGTAAATGGTTTAACATTTGCTTGTATA